GAATGAATGAATGAATAAAAATAAAATGGCTGGGCACAATGGCTCATGCCTGTAATCCCAGCACTTTGGGAGGCCAAGGTGGGTCGTGAGGTCAGGAGTTCAAGACCAGCCTGGCCAAGATGGTGAAACCCTGTCTGTACTAAAAATACAAAAATTAGCTGAATGTGATGGTGGGCACCTGTAATCCCAGCTACTCAGGAAGCTGAGGCAGGGGAATCGTTTGAACCCGGGAGGTGGAGGTTGCAGTGAGCCGAGTTGGCGCTGCTGCACTCCAGTCTGGGTGACCAGGGCAAGACTCCGTCTCGGGGAAAAAAGAAAAAAAAAAACAAAAAACCGGTTAATAATGGTTCTCACCACAAGGGGTAATTCTGTGAACCAGATGAGTGAGTGAGACAGGGAGAGAGATTAGCACAATGCCATATTTGGTCAATTCTACTTCCCCGTTATTACGTTCACTACTATGAAGATTCTGGTTTAGTAAGATGCTTGTTACCAACTCTTCTGCAGCTCTCAAGTGGGTGGGCTATACCTGTCACCCGCAGAGACATCCCAACCATTAATATGAGCCACTGCCAGCCGTTAGCTTGGAGGTGACCCCTGCATGTCGCTTCCCAAGATGAGGCTATTCCAGTGTCCTCCAGGGCAGCCCAGCTATGACCAGCTTGGAGCCCTGGGAGGGGGTATCACGGCTGCCCTAGGGGTACTTGATTTCAGACTCTGGTCCCATGAAACTGAGACTGGCATCACAGGCGAGTGACCTGTGGAGTCATACAGGCTCCCTCCCTCAGAAAGGCCCTGTGCTTCGGCCTATAATCCCAGCACTTTGGGAGGCCGAGGCAAGTAGACAACTTGAGGTCAGGAGTTTGAGACTAGCCTGGCTAACATGGGGAAACCCTAGATCTACTAAAAATACAAAAATTAGCCAGGCATGGTGATGTGCACCTGTCATTCTAGCTCCCGGATTCTTGGGAGGCTGAGGTAGGAGGATTGCTTGAACCCGGGAGGCGGAGGCTGCAGTGAGCTGAGATTGCGCCACTGCACTCCAGCCTGGTTGACAGAGGGAGACTCCATCTCAAAAGAAAAGAAAGAAAGGCCCCGTGCTTTTTAAAGCTCTGCTGTTGGCCATGTGCCATGGCTCACACCTGTAATCCCAGCACTTTGGGAGGCCAAAGCAAGAGGATCACTTGAGCCCAGGAGTTGGAGACTAGCCTGGGCAACGTAGAGACCCCATACCCCACTGTCCGAGACTCTACAAAAAAAAATGTAAAACTTAGCCAGGTGTAGTGGTGCCTGCCTGAAGTCCCAGATGCTTAGGAGGCTGAGGCAGGAGGATCCCCTGAGCCCCGGAGTTCAAGGCTACAGTGGGCTATGATCATGCCACTGCACCCCAGTCTGGGTGACAAAGCAAGACCCTGTCTCTAAAATGGGGGCGGGGGGAGGGGAAAGAAAAGATAAAACCTCTGCTGTTGCGGTCTGGAAAGTCTTAATACTTTTCTAACAAGAGACCCCCTCATTTCATTTGCCTGAGTCCTGGAGCCCGTCCCGCCGGGGGATGGAGGGAGGAGCAGGGGTGGAGTCAGCCCGCTGTGGCCCGCCCTGTTCCTCCCAGCAGATATTTTTGCCCTGACCTTTCCCGGGCACAGACGGAACAGCCTCCTCTTTTCCCGTGCCAGCCTCCACGCTGAGCACTCAGGGTGTTCAAAGGACAAGCTGTGAAGCCATCAACTGCCTGGTCCCCGGGAGCCTGGGAAAAATGCCCCCTGCATCCATCCACACTCTTTTTTTTTTTTTTTTTTTGACACGGAGTTTTGCTCTTGTTGCCCAGGCTGGAGTGCAGTGGTGTGATTTTGGCTCACTGCAGCCTCCGCCTCCTGGGTTCAAGCGATTCTCCTGTCTCAGCCTCCTGAGTAGCTGGGACTGCAGGCACCCACCAGCACGCCCGGCTTATTTTTGTATTTTTAGTATACAGGGTTTCGCCATGTTGATCAGACTGGTCTCAAACTCCTGACCTCAGGTGATCCACCTCCTTGGCCTCCCAAAGTGCTGGGATTACAGCCATGAACCACCGTGCTCAGCCCACACTCTTTTTCTCTCTGCTCTCCAGCTGCCTGGAAGGGCCTGCTTGGGCTGGGAGCTCATCCTTCCTGCCGGGGCCCAGGGCCTCGGATACCCTGTCCCCGCTCCCCCCACCTTGTCACCAGCCCTGCGCTCCAGGCACCCCCGGCCAGTCACTGGCAGTTGGCGGGGGACCATCTGGACTGCCAGGGCCACTCCCTGCCTCCCTCCTCCTCTGCCATCTGATTGTGGACCCCGTACACGCCTCCCGCACTGTTGTTTTAATTAAACTCCGAGGAACTGGGCACAGTGTGGTTCGCGATGTACGTTTTCGTTTAATTAGGTGCTCTCGGTAGCATCAGGCAGCCGAGGCTTCCCCCTGCACCCTGGCTGGCTGCTGCCCACACGTGCTCACGGGGAGCCCCGCGGGGCCACATGCACACGGGAAGTGCTCACGTGTGAACACGTGTGGGCGCAGGGCGAGCTTGAGCATGTACAAGCGTGAGCACACATACCCACGTATGAATGAAATACAGGGTTCTCGTCCTCATCAAAGCCACCCTCGTAGGCACACGGGCATGCACACACACACACACGGGAATGCCCACAGACCCAGCTGTGGGCACCAAGACCAACTGACTGAGGCCCAGTCATTTTGGCCCTAATCTCTGATGATGTCATCAGTAGCCAATCAGAGCCAGTTTCAAGGTCGTCCGGGTCCCTGGCCCAGGAAGGACGGACAAGAGGCCTGAACCTCCTCAGAGAGCATCCAGCCACACCCCCTTCAGGGCCCCGATGGGTCCAGACCTGGTTGGGTGGAGGGCTTTTGCAGCCCATCCCGCTCAGCTGCTTCTGAGCTCAGCCAGGCCTGGGTTCAAATCCTTGCTACGTGCTGGCTGTGTGACCTGGAACAAGTGTGCGTCTGCCTGGGCCTCCGTTTCCCCCTCTATGAAAAAGGCTCGGAGGAGATCACAGGTTCTGTTGCCTGCACAGTGCCCGGGATGCTGTTAGTGCTCAGGGCTTTCCACTGGGGCTTTTCCCCATCAAGCAGTGACCCCTAGGCTGGAACTGCTGCCCTCTTGTTACACTGGGGAGGCGGGGATTGATTCTGGCTTCACCTCCCTGGATCCTGCCCACCTCTCCCTTGCCCCATCTTGGCCTCCTGCCTTCCTGCTGCTTGCCTGGGGCTCAGTTTCCTCCCAAGATGGTGGCTTCCTGCCCACCTCTGTCCACAGCCACCCAGCCCTGTGCCCCATGTCCCATCTGGGCCTTTGTAAGCAAATACATGTGTATTCTTTTAAACAAACAGCAACATTGTCTACACCAGGAAGCGCACACTTTTTCTCCAGAGCACCAGAAAGTAAATATTTTTGGCTCTACAGGCTGGACGGTCTCTGTCACAGCAACAACCCAAAACTCTGCCGTTGTGGTGGGAAAGCTGAGAAATGAATGGGTGTGGCTGTGTGCCAATAAAACTTTATTTATTTATTTATTTGAGACGGGGTCTCGCTCTGTCACCCAGGCTGGAGTGC